GTTGTCCTACTGCGATAGAAGGGCTGCTAACGCTACCCTTCTAAATATGTATATATATAAAAAAAAAACAATTAATTCGTAGACACTCTCTACTTTGCATTGCTACTTTCGTATGCTTAACATTTTATTCTCACCATTTCACACCCACACATAATGCACTTGAGTCGAGTTATAACTTTTTTCATTGTCAAAACCCTTTCGAGTATCACATCACATCGAGATTTACATATTTATTAGCTATAGGTACTTTTTTATCTGCACTTGAATGGAGGCTCTGGAATCAAAGTAGGTATTCAATATTTGCATTATTCAAGTACTGTCTGCAAGGATAGGCTTTCATTGATACGCTCACGTAACCTAAGTAACTGATTACCTATGTATGTATGCACATACAAATGTGCATATCTGTGGGCTTTTGGCAAAACAACTTCTGTGCTTTCTGTAGGTTGGACTTTAGGGTATATAATATAAGGAACTTAAATTTAAAAACTTTAAATTTTTATTTAACTTTCATTGAGATGGCATCTTGAGCTACTCCTCTATTAATGATTACAAATAAAAATATATAATTCGATAACTCAATGAATTACTGCTTCGAAGAGAAAATAATCTCACCCGATAGAATTGGTTTTGCCAAATATCCACAGATATCTCCCCTAAAAGGGTCCACAAAATCGTAGATAGTGTTCAAAATTTAATTAACGGTTTTTAGTCATGAATCAAGCGAACGCAATTCTAAGGAAATTCTGCAAGAGTGCCAAAGTCGGTGATCTTAAACGCAGATACATATGTATGTATGTACTTGCAAACACCCAGCAATTTTACTTGTCACATCTCCAGCGAATGACGGGTGCGTCTGTTCTATGCATTCATTGAATGGCATCGAAAGTGCGCGCGAAACAGGTTGAGCAACATTCATTTTAATATTTATACCTAATCTGAACATATTTTTCATAAATTTAAATCACACGCGCGCAACCAGTATCTTGTTCGAATTAATAAGTATGCAATTAACACGAAACACAAATTCATATTCATATTGAAATATCAAAAAAAAAAAAACAAAAAGAACAAGCTCAACGACCAAGAGCCGCTGGAATTTCACAAGAAACAGACAAAAAATCACTGTTTCAATAATTAATCAATTGACGAGTTTTCATATGCGTGCATCCCAAAGGATAACAAGAAAATAGAGTTTGATTCAACAAAAAATTGATCGTTTTATTCGCTTTGAACGCTTCATACTAACCGCAGATGCCAGCCAAGTACTGGTATTTCGATTCACTGCTATCAACCATCGTTTAAGCTTTGGTTTCTTTCTCCTCCTGAAGACGCAGAAAGCACACTCACACTCATGTGAGTACGTATGTATGAACGTTTGTATGTGCACACTTTATACGAACGATAAATTGAAACAGAAATTTTCCACTACTGTCAATTAAAAGTTTGCAACTCTTTAGCATTTGAATCGAATTTTAAAGCTTTGCCACAGTTGAAAGTTGGCGCTTATTTAACTTCTTTCACTTCACAACACTTTGCTGTTTGTTGTTATAATTTGTTTATAAATTGTTTATAAGTATGCTGTTTTGTTTTTTTTTTTT